TGAATGTTCTAATTTTGCGTTCAGCTTTTCCATTTTGTGGGGAGGTGTGAGGACAGGAAAATCTAAACGTCATGCCGTGTTTTTTGAAAAATTCATGAAATGGTGAATTATCGTACTCACGACCGTTGTCACATTGAAGATTTTTAATAAGGCAATTAAATTGGGTTGTAATAAACGTGTGAAATTTAGTGAAAATATTAAAAACTTCTGACTTGTGTTTGATGGGAAAAGTCCAAAGAATGTTAGTAAAATCGTCAAGAAATAACACATAAAAACGATGACCCATAGTGCTAACAACAAGTGAGGTCCATAAATCACTGTGGACGATATCAAAAGGATAGCATGTAGAAGAAGTAGATAAAGAAAATGGTAGTTTTGTATGTTTACCCAACTGACATGAATGACAAAAATGTTTAGAAACCGAATGACATGAAATAAAGTTATTATTACGAAGGACACTAAAAATGGCTGGACCCGGGTGGCCCAAGCGGTTGTGCCAAGTAGAAGCGGAAATGGTCGTGAGAGCTTGAGGTGCTGAACTCTCGGTTTGGTGCGTGGGTAGGAGAGGATAGAGCTCGCCCAAACTATTGCGCCTCATAAGTGGCTTCCCTGTCTGCATATCCTTCACAGTAAAACCAAAACGGTCAAATTCAACAGATACTTTATTATCAGAAGTGAATTTTCTAAGTGAAACAAGATTTTTAATAATATGTGGGGCATGGAGAACATTTTTTAACAGTAAGGGCAGCAAGGGAGGTTGAAGTTGTTTCATTCCACAGCCAAGAATTGGAATTTCAATGCCATTTTCAACGATAATTTTATTATTGGTGCTCAAATTAAAATAAGAAGAGAGGGTACCTGCATTCGACGTCATATGGGAGGATGCCCCTGTATCCATATACCGATTTTCATCGGGCTGCTGAAGAGACATGGTTTGCATAGTGGTTGCGATGTTAGTGGGTACAAGTGCCCCTTGCGGTGCACCAAAAGTCTGATTCTGGGCAAGAAAAACGTGTGGTCTTAGTCCCAAAACACCGACACCACGACCAGTAGCAGAAGGAACCCAGCTTGTGGTAGGGTATGGACATGGTGGTGGGTTCCATGATGGCTGTTGTGGCCAAGAGGGAGGCGTAAAAGGAACCCATGTCCAAGAACCAGGCTAATTTCTTTGTCTGTTATTTGTGCCAGAGTTATTTTTGTTATTGTCAAAGGAATTTTTGTAAGAGTTACCTTTATTATTATTATTGCCCTTACCACGATATTGCTTTCCACGACCTCCGGTGTTGCGGTTGTGGCGAGAAGGTGCAGCATCAGGAGACCGATTTGGAGCAGCAGAAGAAATATCAGATTGTGTGTGGATGAGGACAGACTCGGCACCAGTGTTCTTATTGCGACGGGTTTCCTCAAGTGTGAGCATAGATCTCACTTTGTAAAATGATGGCAGCGGATCTAATTGTTGAATGATTGTGGCGAGACTGTCGTACCCACTTGAGAGGCCTGTCACAAGGCGGAGGACCAGGTGATCCTCGCTGACCGGAGCCCTAACATTACCAAATTGTTTGGATATCAGTTTTAATGCTTGGCAATAAGACGACGAATTTGGATAATTATCCATGTGGATTTGGGAGAATTGTTGTTCTATATACGGCTCTAGAGTTTTTGTTGTCGTGAAAGATGTCCTTTAAGCGATTCCATCCTTCTTGAGCGGTGGCACTGGGTTTTAGAATCGTATGTAGGAGATCAACGGATATCGTGCTATAAATCCATTGTTTCACGATTGCATCGAGTCGGGACCATTGTGCATCTTTCTTAATAGTCGTATCCTTGGGTGGAATAATGTGATCGGCGACATCAAAGGCATTGGCCGCATTGAGAAACAATTCTGCCCATGAATCGTAGTGAACATTCTCCATTTCTAGGGTGATTTGAATGTGGTTTTTAATGTTTGAGACAGAAAAAGCGGGATGGAAAGTAGATTTTGATGTGGAGTTGTTGTCAGCCATTTGAAGAGGGAAGGAATGGGTTTGGTGGAGAAGAGAAAAGAACAGATTATGTGATGGAGAAGAATGATTGTGGGGGATCGTTATATGGCTGATGTCATATTAGAAAATAATCCCCTGTCTCTTTCATTCCATTGAAGGTGATTATATATTAGTACAATATAACTTGAGTTATTACAGTATCAAGCTAATTATTACAATATCATGCTAATTATGGACAATATCAAGCTAATTATTACAATGAATATGGACATATATACATATAGTCTAATAGTAGTTGCTTCGTCCTTTTGGGGGGATCGTCTCCTTTTTTCTAAATAACATACCGAGTATAGGGATCGATATTCAACCAGAGACAGATTATGGTAGGGTCTATATCGAGCATCTCGTTTGGAGAGATTATGAAAATATTAGCATTAGCTTTGAGGCATTCAATGAGTTTTTCCTTTATTGTAGCCGATAAATAAGCTCCCAAACAGAATGATCTTGTTGGATTCTCATCAAGTGGTACCACTTTAAAGTTTTCATCTTGGATGGGTCTTTGATTTTTGCTTTGTTTTATGGTGCTAAGTTGAGTTCATCATCTTGTAGGACTTCATACTCTCATACATCAATGTCGATGGTGGTGATAGATGACATTGGAGTCTTCTTTCTTTTCCTCTTGGAGATGAATGTGGTCGTGTTAGGGTTTTTAGCATTGCTTTGTGTATCACGTGAGCTCCACGTAGATGATCAGGGATGCCTACTAGTTCCCCAGAGTCACTGTGATATCTCATCTTCATGTGGATGTATAAGTCATTGCATCTAACAATATGATAAAAGGTATCCCCAATATACAATTGCAGACGCTCCCTTAAGGATTAACCAAGAAATACACATTCACATTACTTTCGTCCTTCCCTTCTTCGAGGGAGACTAGTAATTCCACAGCTCCCCAAGGGCAAGTGGTAGAGTCATTGAACACCAAGAGGTTCATGCCTTCATATGGTATAAGGTCTCGATCTTATAACCCTAGCTTCGTGAAGACGTTTGTGTATATGACGTCGCAAGAACTCTCGTTGTCAATAAGGATACATGATACTAAACAATTTGCTATATAGGTAGTTACAACTTACTACCAATGGAAGTGTTGCATTGGGAATCTCGCTCACCTTTTCGCTGTTACGTAACCCTAAGATAAGTTTGTCTTCTCCTTGCCTTCTAGTTGCCACTAATGATTTCAAAAATCCTTGTGTTGAATGATTTTTGTTTAAGGCTCGTGAGCCTTTGGTGACTTCCACTAATTGATAGACACCATCGTCATCTTTCGAGCGAGACTGTGTAACAATTCATGACTTTTGGAATCAGAAGGCTCTGATTGTGAAAATTCGTGAGAATCAAAATTCGATTCCATGGACGACTCCACTGTTCCGTTCTAGAACCATAAATAATTGATGATGGAGTGAAATGTGATTCGAGTGCAGTGGAGCGAGATTCTGGTACAATAGAGCAGAGTGGACCTACAAGGTTAGCACTCTAATGCACGCGCCAGTGAATGAATGAGAATTGGCATGAGTGTGAGAAAAAGCATAATACATGAGTCTTACCGCGTGAAGAGCTTTATACATAAAAGACGATTATAACTGTCCAAATCATCCAATATGAGATGCAAAAGACCCTTCAATTAAATTTGACAATGGAAAATCACCCCAAGGCAATGATCAGGTGTTCGCCCCTTTGACTACGGGATTGCTCAACCTTCAACAACCCATCAATCAAGTGTTCGTCCCTTTGACTACGGGATTGCTCAACCTTCAACGACCCATCGTTTGTCTTTGAATTGGATCTTCTCGAAAATGAGTTTATATGCCTTCGGGCCTAAGGCCAATCTAGAATAGTTTGAATGATGATAGAAAGATAAGGATTCTTCGAATTAATAAATTTTAGATATGAATTCTTTGAATAAATAAATTTTATTGTCCGACAAGAGACGTTAATTTTACCATAATTTCACCAGACAATGCTAATAACACATGCATCTGTTTTATTTTTTTATAGTTCGAATTTATTTAAATAATGTGGAAAACAATTGAAAATTGATCATTAACGTCAAAATTATTATTACTAATAATTTCCCTACCCATTTTTTAAAAAATCATTGACTCATAATCTTAAACCAGGAAATGTATATATACCGATCAACATTATCAATTTTCGGTTTATCACTTCGTTCGCTCCCTTCGAATCAAAGCAACTTGTAAAAATTTATAGACACATACTCACTCGCACATTCTAAGACTGAGGAGGAATAAGGAGTTTTCTAAATATAGATATACGCAACGCAAAAGCTCGTTATAGTCGTCACATGTATATTTTGGTGCGCATCGCACATAAAGCATCGTCAACCATAATTACCATTGGTCATCATCTTTATTTGCTAATGCTTTTGAGTATCTAGTCTTAAGCACACAATATTCTAAAAGATAGGTGATAAAACAATATCCAACGAACTGATTCACTACATAATATCAAAAGAATATAATCTTCAACATTTAAATGGGATGCAAGTATACAATGAATCAGTATAATTGATCACATCCAATAAAAGAAATGAAAAATATATCCAACTATTAAATGAGAAAATATATAGAGATTGAACCATATAAACAATTTCTCACTTTCTACAGAAGAATTATATTGACTACCATGAACAATTATAACATACAACAAGATCAGTCCAAAAATCTCAGTTGCAATTAGACAGCAGCATCAGTTCAGTTGGAAAATGATTCAGCCGTCAAATCACAATTTCCAGGTCACTTGTGCTTTGAGATGACTCCAGAAAACAATAGTTACATTCACAACAGCCTGCAAAGAAATGGTCAGAAAACTATAGTACCATGGAATGCTTGAATTCGAACTCCACCATGAAATATAATCAATCACCACTTCATCCACATCATGACTATGGGCAGGCACGTCTATATGATAAGTTCTCTTCCATCAACCCTAAAAGGAACTTCAATTTTCACGATCATCCGACCCATTTATAACGATCAGATGTTCATCCTCCACACACTTTGTCGAATCTTCATCGATAAACCATGTCAAGGCCCCTGCACAAAATAGTGAATATGCCATCACTTTATCAGTTCAATTGTTATAGAGAATTCACTTTGGTTCGTGAGACATTCTACTAATGCATTGGCAAACACATGGAAACTGATTGAAAGTAACATGTTGTCCTATACCTTTTCTAGTAGATTCTTCCTGTTCTTTAGTCCCGTGCAAAATTATCGTTCCCGTCAGAACAGTGATAAATCCACATATCTCAGAGGCTATGCTGCTGATATCCTGACCAGACCAATCCTGCAAGGGAAAACAACAAAAAAATACAGTCAAGCTTTTCAGATTCCAGAGCTCAATCAACAAATGAAAAGTTTGATACATCACCAAAAGAATCCAAGAGACGTGAATAGATTATCATACCTTGAACATTATTGCACTGGCAATAATAGTAAGAGTTGTGAACATCACATAATATACAGGAGAAATAATTGTTGCATTGAATGTATCCAGGGCCTGAAACACAGTTTAATAGTGAAATAAAGTAAGCTCAAGATTCATTAAAAGAATAAGGAGCTATAACTTATTGATATAACATAGGTGGACAACAAGAAAATTTGTGTATGTATGTAGGAACTGGTACATATCAATTGAAAACATTACCGCCACCGTGTTCCTCGGTTTGCAAAATTACATAAACAAAGACAGAATTGTTCACAAGATTGCATTTCAAGTTTCTAAGTATTAATTGCAATAGACTGTGTCATGTTTTTTCGATTGGTAACCTATTATTATTGACACATTATAATTGAAATCAAAAAGCCCCTTTTACCGGGAAATCAAATAACAGATGAGGACATTCAGAGGGGAGTCGACTCCTATTTAACAGCCACCATGGGGCAGTCAGTTAATTATCGCCGGAAGAAGCTTTCATATATTCATAGGGATTTGACCAACCGTGGGTCGGTTAGTCCCTATTTTAATGCAATATTTAGAATCTTTCTGCGGTGTGCTCTGTTTACTATTCTTTCGTACTCTCTTCTCTTTACCACGCGATAGGTCAGCAAAGCGTGAGCGGGCGCGGAGAAGGATACATCAAAGACTTCGGCCTAACCCTAACGGGAATGAGCAACAACAAAATGACAAGATGGGGTGCTCCGGGCACCCCCATTTAGTAAGAAGGGTCGAAGGTTTTGGGCCTGTAGCTTTCCCCGTCCCCCCTTCGTCGGGTGGTGCTTGTGTGGGGGGTGTGCCACCTGAACCTGAAATCGGGCTTGAAGCTCTCGCCTTACCAACGAGCTGATGGCTGTTGGTCAAGACTACCACCAAAAAGCTCCAATGAAGATGAATATTTCACATTTTGGAGTGTGCATCTGTATGTTGGGTGTTCTTCTGTCGTGCGACCCGGCGGCTTATGTGCGACCTGTGGCCCACGCCTCCTATTTGTTTGGGGCTCCTGAATGAAAACCCTTACTAGATTTTTTTAGTTATTAAGCAGATTGGAAGGGAAGGACTTCTCACTTGCAATCCATCACTTTATAGACACGAGTTTTACATTGATTCTTGACTGACCTAATTTAAGGAGATCAGCTCTTTTGCTATCGATGTTAAAACTAGAAGAGCAGACATGTAACTGAGCTTTCATAAGTTTTTATTATGCAGAACAACTGAAAAACAGAAGAGGCCTTGCCTCGTGGAACCACACTAGTGTAAGATATCATGAATCAAAAGCAAGGTCAAGCTTGCAAATTTGCCTCCATTGCATTTTATTGAATGATATATAATGTATAGTTTCGGTTATTATTTGCACCTGCTCAATTTCAAAATTCTGCACTCACCTTATTAAGGTAATTCAACTGTGTAATGACGCATATTATGGCCACTGTAACAAAAAACCAAGTCTGAGGATAACCTATTTGATTTATTCCATCAAGTGTTAGCTTTATTGCAATTCCAATGGCTTTTATGCTCACAACCTGAATAATTTGAAAAATCATTAATGAGCAGACCAAACTACAGTTAGATGCATGCACTGAATTTCAACGAGACACTGCTGTCAAATAGTATCTATAGCATCACAGAATTTGGACAAATCACCAATGCTCCACAATCTTCTATTGAGACAGTGTTGTCAAGTAGAATCACAGTAGCATGGCGGAATTTGGACAAACCACTATTTGCCACAATCCACCATTGACAACACTAATACTCCTCTATAACATTCTAGCATAGCGGAGTATGTCATATGAGACTTCCTTCTAAATGATTGTTGTTATAGACATAATTACCGTAAGTGAGCCCATTAAAGAACAGATTCCCAAGTAGACCAGCATATTTTTCTGTCCGTAGCGAGGTTCAAAATTTAAAATCAAGGCCAAAACTACCGAAACTGTTACGATGACATAAATCATAAATTCTGTTGAAAAGGAAAAAGATAGAAAACATTAATAAAGACTGAATATGAATTTAATTTAATAGTAGTAGAAAATGGGTGATACCATCCAACCTGGTTGAGTGGCTAATTCCCATATTTCTTGGACAGAATTTGGAGTGTGTTCTTGTGGTGCATGAATGACTATAACAATTGATCCTACAATACAAGATATACATCCCAATACTCCCATCTTCTGAAGCCGTTCGTTCAACAAGAAGTGGGCCAAAACAGAACTAGCAATATATACTGGAAATGTTAGTTGAGCCGGTATACCATAAAATCACAACACTCAACCAGAAATTTCTAAGTCTTTTAATCAAATCTGTACCTAACAATGATGCTAAGCGCGCCAAGAGGTGTAACCAGAACCGCCGGAGCATAAATATAAGCAACAAAATTTGCAGCTTCCCCGGTAATCACTGCAAGCAAATAGTTGAAGATCCACGTGAGTTTCATTTCAAAAAACTGAAACACACTACCAGAGAGAGAAAGTGAACAGCCATACTAACTTGTTACCATGCCAACCCACCAAAGTGGCTCAAGTAAATAAGTATGACCACCAATCCCTGCAAACTTCAAAACATAAAATATAAGCAAGAATGACAAAGTGCATTTTTAGACTCATTTTTGGGAGTGCCAACACCCTGTGAACAACCAACACCCTGAACCCAACCCCGACACTCACACGACGACAGCGGTAATAATTTGAAAAAATAAATAAATTAAACGTAACCACAGGTATCAGTGCAGGTGTCCAACACCGACACGGACACGCCTTTTATCAGAAATGTCGGTGCTACATAACTTAAAACTAATTTTGGCATGTTTGTGATCACTCAATTAGAATTGATTATAACTTGATGCTATAGAATTTATACTTTTGAAGCATTTGATTACATCTCTATACTCAAATTTATTATTCAACTAATTCTCACTCATACTTATCCAAACACAAACAATTTCACCTTAAACTCATTTTTAAGTAAAATCAATACCAATTTCCACCACACATAGTAATTTATGGATGAACATTGAGTTTAACAAAATCAAATCGACGGCGTGTAGTTTTTACCAAAATCGCCGTGAGTATGCCAATTTCACCGTAAATCCAAACATGCACAGTACTAAAAGTGAAACAAAACACATTTCAAAACTAAGTACGTTATGGATCTGATCTCAACCAGTGCTGCACGAAACTCATGATCATTATTAAATACATTAGGTAAAACAACCGACACTACGATTCTATAACTGAATCGGAAGATAATAAAGTGATTGCTTGAAACTGAAAAATGAAAACAAATAACTAACAAGAGAACGCGTGAAAATGTTAAATTGCAGAAAAGATGAACCGATTAAACCTGCACGAGTACCGCGTGCCGCGGCACGCTTAAGACCTTTCTTCTTCAAGATGAAGCTAGCACCGATGAATGCACTAGAACACACGGCAAGTATCAATCCTTTGTAATTCTCTGAGACTCCCATTACTGTATCTATCTTCAATTCGATTGTCGAATCTACTTGCTCCGATTTCCCGCCAAAACGAGATCGAATGAGTCGAGAAGCGAGTCAGTGAGTGACTGATCAGAGAGAATGAAGCGAACGCTTCATTGACTCGGAATCTGGTGAATGATGACTCGCTAGAAGAAGGTAGCTAGCTACAGATGCAGAGGAAAAACACTTTTTCTATTTTAATAATATTAATTAATTAATAAAATTAATAAAATAAAATAGTCCTTTGCTTTTCAGAAGCTTCCGCGGATATTTCTTGGGTTTGATTCTCTGCTTCGCGATAAATCCGCCCACGGATGCCCCTCTTTTTTTAACCTTGTGATGATGGAATAATCGTCTTTTGTGTAAAAAGCAATCGGAATTTCAAACTAAAATCCAAGTTACAGCTACTGTGACGGTAAATGTGGAAATGTGTTTTTTTTTTTGAGAAGTTGAAAATTTTAGAACGGTAGAAATGATGTTGACGTGTTTGTTTAGATTGAACAGATAGATTTATTCAATAACATTTGATCGAATTGATTTTTAAAAATAAATAAATAAATTCTTTAATATATCTATGAATTTAAGTTGAAAAGGATATTTTGTGTAATTTGTGTTAAAATTTTAATTTATTTGAAAATAAAATAAAAAAGTGATTTGATATTGAATTTTAGTATTTAATCGATTAAAGGTGTAATCAGCTAAATTGAAAGATAATAAAGTATTCACCATAAAAAAAATAGTTTAATTATAAATGTATACTTTCAATACATATTTCTTTTTTCTTTGAGTTTATTTATAGAAAAATAAAGAGTTTAAAATTATTTCTACTATTTAGAAATTTTTCTCAGAAAATTATTTTTAAAAATAAAATAAAAATCATCTTTTTCAAATCTATCAAACATATCCATAGTCAAATCCAATAAAAAAGTTAACTTTATTTTTTTTATAAAATACGGTATTGCAACAATAATAATAATAATGAATTTGAGTTTATCACTTATAATTAAGAAAAAAAGTAAATGTGTATAAGTATTGTAAAATATTTTTTTATTGTCAATTAACGATAGATGTATATTTCGTTAAATTACATTTATGTTTTAAAAATATTTAAATAAATGGCTTTTGAAATTTTTTACATTTAAAAAAAGTCATAGTAAAAGGATAAAATGCTTAAACTAATATTGGATGAAAAACTATTTACATCAAAATTTTATTTAGTTTTTATTTTAAAATTTTTTATAACTTTTTTAATAAAGGTTAATTTATTTTTTTAATCTCTTAACTTAATTTATTATTTCTGTTTGGTCCTAGTTAAAAAGTGTTACATTATAATCTCTTAAAACGGTTCTATTGTTTAAATTTATTCATTCCGTTATATTTTAACAAAAAAGGTTAAACTATGTATATGTGGCCGTCTACTTGGCAGTATGTTGTCTTACGAGACATTTTGTTTTGTTTATTTTCAATTTATTATTATTTGTTATTAAACATGTGAAACACTTTAACCCTAATTTTATTCCCTTGCTCCAAATCTTCGTTCTTCCTTAAAATCCTCGTTCATTTCTCTTCTCATTACTACTTCCCTATGCATCTTCGTTCTTCCTCCAAATCTTTTATGTTTTTGTTAAGAGTTATAAACAACATTGATCCATAGCATATTATTGAGATTTAAAGCAACTTTTTTAACACAGCTGAGTTATTTGACTTCTCCTATGACGATGAACAACCACAAGGAAGAAGAAGAAGAAGAAAAAGATAGTTTATTTTCACAACTAGTTACTCGTTCCGGTGAGTCTCTCTGTCTTTGTAAAGTTCATTTTCTTCTCTGCTTTGTAACTGAAACTGAAATTAAAAATTTTGTTTCACAACTGGGATTCTAACATAATGCTTCTATAATTAAATCTAATAGTGTTTTGTTGCTCAAATTTGTTTAGTTTAATGACATGAATGGAAGACCTAAGGTGATTGGTGGTGATAACATTAACTGACTTTTTATTTCTTCTGTGAATTATCAAAATTAAAATGTTAGCTAGCTAAGCTTCTATATGAATGTGATGTTGATGTTTGGATTCTTTGGCACTTGCGGTTCTTACAAAACAAGGGGCATTTAGTTAAGGTCTTAAATGATAATGATATCCATGTAACTTTATTCATGGTCTTCTTCCTAAATCATCATTCATACATATTGATTAACATTTTTCAATGTTATGAAGGATATCCTTTTGAAAGATGATTTGGAGGGTGTGACCCACAGAGTGTTTTTTGACATAGAGATCTATGGAAAAATATCGGATATTATATTAATGCTTTCATTCTTCATAAAGTTTTGATTTTTAAAGTTATGGTGTTCAAGTTTTGAATTTTTTTAAAGTTTTAAGGTTGTTACAGATGGGAGGGATTGTTCATGGAGATCGAAATCGAAGTTTGTGAGTGAGTGTGAAGCTTTTTTGAGTTTCAATTGAAAAGCTGTGATTGAATCTAAAGAGATTAATGAGATGAATTGTTTTATTAATGAAGAAGATGATGGAATCTTGATTCTATTTTCTGTAAATTAATTAATATTTTTTATGTTTTTTTGAGTTAATTATGTAAATTAATTTTTTAATTTTTTTAAAAACTTTTTTACGTGGACATGGATATTATTTTTTTTTTGTTAACTCATTGCAGGGTTGGTTTGCCACTGTTAGCTCCTAAATTCGACGCCTCATGCAAAAGAAAGGAATTCAAGATGAAAATGCCAAGAACAAGTTGAGAACGAAAGTTGGTCGAAAGGTGTAAGGCAGCTAAAAGAAGGAGTCGAAGAACTCACCCAGATTAAAAGAGAAGCAAGGAGTTCGACCGCTTGTTGTTGTGGATGGTTCGTCGAAAGGTTTGAAATTTGAAAGTTTTGGAGGGAACGGTTTCGTTTGCCAAATACTTAAGAAGACACATGGCACCTTATGAGCAGTAGATCCATGCATTATGACAAGTGGCGAGAGGAGGTGATGTTGGAGGTTATTAGAAGTTATTTTTTATTACTATAAATAGGATGTCTTAGACATAAGAAAGGGTGTTGTAATTTACCATTGTACAAATTACTCTTAGAATTACTCCAAGTATCCGAGCGTAGAGAAAGCGAGTATTATAGAGAACGTACGTGACGTAAACGCACCATCTTTTGTCTTAATGAAATTTACTTTACTTGCTTTAAACTTTACAAAGTCTTTACTTTCTTTGCACCATTTTTCCTTATTTTCTTTCTTGTCTCTTTTTTCCTATGCAATTCCTTTCTCTTCGCCCTTAATCTAATCTCCCCTCTCCAAACAAACTTCTTTCTTTCTTTTATTACAAGTTTTATTTTATTTTTCAAGTTATTCCATAGTCGAACAAGGTGTTTCTTTAGATTTGTTTAACCAAATGTTGCTTAAGTGTGAAACTTAGATAGATTTCCAAAACAAAAAACCTTTAGCACATGTCCTAGGATCAATTTGATCGATCCTGTGAGTCACCAAAGTTAGATTTGAAAGATCAGCGGTTGTTTTCCGATTTTCAAGGGAAACAAAATGGCACGCCCAGTGGGACAGTGCTAAAAATCTTTTTTTTATAAAACTAAATTTACAAAAAATTTGTGGTTGTGTTGGTCCTTTCCATGAGAAGTGCATTTTTATGTTACTGAGAAGTGGTAGAGTTAACGCTGTAGACGAAGAAAGACGACCAAGACAAAACATTAGGAACATGGATACGGACACGAACCAGCCAGATAACCCCAACCGTCAGGGAGACGGTTCCAGTGAGGGAATAAGAGATGATGGAGCTCCCCCTCCGATACCGTCGACCGCAGAACAAACGATGCTTCTTGTAAGGCCAGTATCGACACCCTCGGTACTTGGGACTGGATCGACGGTGATAAGACCTTATAGTCAACCGATGTTGGAATATATTGGGCATCAAACGTCAAATCCTCAGATTTTGTTAGGGGGGAGTTCGACTTCCAGGCAGTTCGTTCCCCCTGGTTTTTCACAGTCGCCAAGAAATCCCCCATATGGGATTCCCACCGCTATGATACAGGGGCTCCAAAGTGCACCCCCCCCCCCCCATATTCTCAGATCCTGCAATGGCTTCGCCATTACATGGGTCTAGGTCTGGCGTGAACATGGGTCGAAATCCCCAAAGCTAGAGCTTAGGATATTCGACGCAAGGCCCCAATTTGACCAACACCTCAGTTGCCTGTTTGAGACAGCAGATGGGCGAAAGTAACCTACAAATGGTTCAGACCTTGTCACAAACCATGGGTGAAATCTTTCAACCATTAATCCAAAATACAACTCAGACCAATCAACAATTGGCGATACAACTGACAAGATTGGCTGAATTCATGGGGGTACCCCCCTTGGCCAGAAATCAGGCTGTAGTAGCGGATATCCCACGAGAAAACTTGGGAAATATGGAATAAGTCGACGTAGGAAACCAAGGAAGGATGACCCCTCCTATAGTCGAAGTGCTTAGGGAAGAGCCATTACGAAATCATCCCCGTGTCCTGGGAGAAAGAGACCCAGGAGTGGTTGTCGTAAATCTGAACCAAGACACGGACAATGTAGTCCAACAGGTTCGACAAAATAACGTGGTCGTCGATAATAATCTAGCAGCCATGGTCGAGAGAATTATGGCCAGAAATGGGTTAAACACTGGGTTCACCAGGCCAAATTACACTTCACCTATAGTAGACTATATCCTTCAGGCGGAGTTACCCCCTAGGACGAAAGTACCCAAGTTTACTAAATTTTCAGGAGATACGACGGAGTCTACTGTCGAACATGTGGCTCGTTACCTAGTCGAGGCTGGAGAGATAGCGAATGATGAAAGCCTTAGAATAAAATACTTCCCAAGTTCTCTTACTAAAAATGCCTTCACTTGATTCACAACGCTTCCCCCTAATACGATGTGTAATTGGATCCAGTTAGAGCGTTTATTTCATGAACAATTCTATATGGGCTAGACTAAAATTAGCTTAA